GGGTGCCCGCCTCTATTTTTCTTTTGAAGTCTATCTCAAACGGCATTTGTCATTCATTTACAGTGAAAAAACTGTTTTATTTTTTTATTGCAGTCCACTTGAAATTTCCTGCAAATCATGGTTTTATTTCTCCTGGTGCATGAAGGGGATCTGCAAAGAGGAAGAAGGAGAATTTGCAAAAAGTGTGCTCATTTTCAGCTTTCTTTCCTCAAAATCTCCAAACTTCTGGCACGTTTTCCTTAGGTGTAATTCTGAAATAAGAGTTGTGCTTTAAAATAAAATAACAGTAAGTTTTGTTTTCTTTTAAAAGCATTAGCATATGTGCATGCCCGGGGACAGAGCTGAGCCCACCCTGGGTGCTCCTGGGACCGAGGATGCTGAAAGGATTCCCGGGGGCAGCACCTGCCCAGGTGGGTTCTCCTTGGGCACCTGCATCTCTTGTGAATGGCTTTCGGGCACAGGAGATGGCTGTGCCTGGCCACACAACCCCCAATTTGCCTTTCCAAAAAGAGGAGAGCTCTCCCCAGCCCCGCGGGGAAACTGGGGGAATTGCCTCCTGCTGGTGGGGCATCAGTGATGCTGGGACTAAAGGCAGCTTGATTTTACAGAGGGGAAACAGCCCTCACCAACTCTTGATTATTCCCCCCACCCTTGTGTGAATGCACTTCTTCGTTCCCAGTTTGCATCCTGTGAACTAGCTCCTGATGAGGTAAATATGTCCAGTGACAACAATGACAATGTTGTTATTTACATTATACAACATTATTATTACAACATTATACAACATTGCCAACAGTAAAACTGTTGGTTTTAAACCTTTTAACAACTATAATAAATGATTTTATTTATTTATTTATTTATTTATTTAATTTTTAATTTTTTTTTAATTTTTAAATTTTTTGGACATCCTTCTGGACTTTCGAAATATTATGGTTCACCCTGGAACTTTTGTTTGTTAGATTAATTTGTTTAATTACTTTGTTTGTTTAATTTAAGCTGGTTCTTATAAGTCTGATTGCAAAGTGATGACCTCAAATCAGGGTCCTTATTTCTCTGGTGCAGTGGACCCAGCGTTTTTGGTGAGGTGTGCAGGTGATACCTCAAGCAGCAGGAGCAGGGTATGTTTGAATCCTAAAAGGTTTGAATAAATCTGCAATAGGGGTACAAATACACCCATGCAGATGGAAAGGAGTGGATGAAATGTAATCGTTGTCACACACACACAGTGAATGCCAAATAAATACCAAGTAAATACATTTATGTCCAGGAAGAGTAGAGTGTGTTGCTAAAAGAAGCAATGCCTTTTAATCTGGTTATATGTGATGTATAGTTATGTCATTGCAATGTGCTTATCACCAGCTGGATGTGACAGATAGCCATATAAGTACATCTCGTTTATTAACTCATCCTTATGGTGTAAGGCCATATAAACAACGTATTCATAGCCATGTAAAATCTCTCCTGCTTATCAGCTCATCATCTCACTTCTTATCTCAGCAGAAAATGTCCTCTCTCTTACTTGAAACTTCTTGGCTCACACTTCTTATTTGGGTGAATGACTCGGTCCTTTAGTTTATCAGATGGGATGTGGGGACGGAGCTCGTGTGAAAATGCCTGGCCCAAAACAGAGCGGAGAAAACGAGTCTGGGAGGGTCTTTAGGAAGTTATGGTGTTGATTCCCTGGCTGTGAGCAAGGACTGGCAAGGCCTGTGCAATGCTTGTGGAAATTTCATTACTACCCTGACAAGTCTTTGGTAAGAGAAGAGGGGCAGGCCAAAACCAAACTGGATCCATCCCAGCACCTCCAGGGAGGGATTAAGGCAGGCTGGGAATGAGAGAAGCAAGCCCAGGGCATCAGGCACCTCCAAGGCTGAAACTGCAAGACAGCAGTGTTAAAGGAGGGGTAGCAGCCCATTTTTGCTGTTTATTTTGATCTTTTCTTGCTTCTGGTAGTGCCCAGGGTGCCTAAAGGACAGCTTGTCAACACCTGTAAGTAGAGATGTACTGAATTGCTATTTATTTTTCATTGCAATAGCAAATTGTGGAACACTGAGCACTATGTGACAGCAAGAGATTTGTCATGGTCACCTTTTAATATCTGTGTTTTCAAGCCCTTTCTGAAACTGTGTTGATTACAATCCCATTTTATAGTGGGGAAACTGAGGCACAGGAGCTTGCTGAGGTCTTGGACTGGGGACAATAACAGAATAGGAATTAAACTTTATGAGTCACAGAGGTACCAAATAAGCAGCACACAGAGTAGCTGATTCAGATGAAAGATGCTTGTCTACTTTATTGATGTACACAATTATCTGTGACCCTG